CCTACTGTGCCAGGTATTTTTCTCAGTACTTTTCATATATTAACCACTTCATCTTCATAACACCTTGACACAGCAGATACTGTTCATCCTCCCATTTTACAGATGGTGAAACAGACGCACGGGGGGTAAGTAACTCCTCCAAGGCTAACCATCTAAAAAGTGGCAAGGCTATGAGCCTGGAAAGCTGATTAGAACTTAGCTCCTGCGACTTTTCTTTAGATGAAGTGGTTTCTAGAGCTCTTTACCACCCTGCCTGTCCATGCTCTGAATAATCATTGGTTTGTGAACATTGATTGCTCTTAAAATGTCGCAGCCAGGGCTGAATTCCACATGTGATATGAGAGCTCAGAACCAACTCTAGAGGGGCTGACTGTTCCCAGGGGACTCACAGGTGAGGGGCTGCTGGCAGGGCACCTACCTGGGAATGCAGTGTGGTGCAGGCTGAGCTCATAGGGGCCACTGGGGAAGGAGTATGTCTGGGAGACAGACAGATTGGAGGTGCTGAGATGTGGAGGAGAGGTGAACTGGGGAAGGGGCCAAAGAAAGCGAAGTCAAGGCTTCTAGGTGGTCCCTGGAGGTAGGAGGGAGTGGGCTAGGTCCTCAGATGCACACTGGCAGGGGAGGGACTGAGAATGCTCAACTAGGGGCCTCCTGGTGAGTGGGTGGGTGGGTGGGTAGGACGAGGGCCTGGGGAAAACCCAAGGCTGCCTGGGCTCTTCTGTGAGAGGCCACCCAGGGGAAAGACGGGGAGAGGATAAGGAGGAGACCCAAATAGGAAGAGAACATAGTACCAACCCTTAAATTTCCCAGTGTTCCTGCCGCTGCCAGTCTGTCCTGAGCAGAGAAAAGAGGCTGGAGGGGAGATGGCCAGCTGTGGGGAAAGATTGTGCTGCCCAATCTCAAGTGTTTCTGAATTCGGAGGCAGAAGTAGTGGAAAAAGCTGGGTTCAAACCTTGGTGCCTGTACTAGGTAAAAATTAGTCGATGGGCCTCAGTTTCCTCAACTGTAAAACAGAGATAGTTAATGCCTGCCTGATTGAATTGTGCAAGGGTTCACCCACCCTCCAATGTAGGGCTGCCTTTCAGAGCAGATGGAAGTAAGGGTAGTCACGGTGACCTGGGTAGGAGGTCAAAGGTTCAAGGTTAGAGGGGCTGAACTGTCTTGCTGAATCCCCCTTGTTGGCCTTCTATCCCTCTCAGACCTCGTCTCCTCTTGCCAGGGTCTTCCTGCTTGCAGGGCAAGATCTGATGTCATCAGTGGGTTTTACCCAGTGGGCAGTTCTCTTTGTTCTAGCGGGTCGACTAAAAGGGAAGGAGAGGTTTCTTTATTGAAGGGGTGATATGGGAATACTTCCTGCTTTAAGCCAAAAAAAGTGGGGAGAGAAGTAGACATTGGGGAGCGGTGACATTCTGTATGGAGCCTGGCCTCTCCTGGGGACCTTGTCACAGTTGGGAATGGAAGGGCTAGTGACCAAAGGCTTCTCTGGAAGAGGCAAGAGGGAGCTGAATATGAGGAGGGCCACTGAGGGGAGAGCCTGACATAGGGACAGCGGGGGCTCAATGGGAAAGAGACATGGCGAGAGAAGTGATAGACAGTATGGAGTTGGTGATGAGAACGAGGGAGGTGCAGGAGGCAGACGAGAGGCACAGAAGGACTTGAGACAGCTTAGGAAGGGCAGAAAGGGAAGTCCAGTCAGAGATGGGACGGCTCATGTTGTGGAAATAACTTGAGCCATGTCGGGGCACCTGGATTCTTGCTATGTGACCATGAGAAAGATACCTTAGTTCCTGGGCTTCAGGCTCCTGTCTGTGTCTTCCTGATATTTGATGGCCTCTTAACCCTCTAAGAGCTTCATGTGTAGGCAGATCTAGTGTTAGGCCCATTTTACAGATGAAAAAATACGTTGGATTCAGAAAGGTTGAATTACTTACCAACATCACACAGCCACAAAGTGTGCAGCCGGAACACCAGGACCCACATTTAGCTGACTGGCTCTGGTGCTTTTTCTGGGGTACCTTGACAACTTCCTAAAATAACTGGAGCTAGCAGAGACAGAATGGAGGGCAGTGTGATGGTTAGGGTGCTTTCTGACCCATTTCCTGACTGTGTGGCCTTGAACAAGTCACTTGCCTTAGGTTTTTCACCTGTGAAAGGGATGACAATAGTATTAGCTAACAGTGGCTAATAGTATGCTGAATTACACTGAAGATTAAATAATGTATATTCTAATACCACAGTGCCTGGCTATAGTAAGTGCTCAATAAATACTAGCTAACTGCCATGCTTTTAATTACCAGTAACAAACAAATCTCTCAGAATATCAAACACACACCTTGGACCTGAGCTACATTTTCTTCTATGATGGGGGCAGCTGGAACTGATATCTATGACCCAGTCAGCTAGATGTTTATGAGGGAGAGAGAAATGGAGCTGAGGGGAGGACTGTGAGGATGTGGACCAGACAGTGGTTAATGTAGCTGCACATTAGGACCCCCAGGGGCTCTTGTAAAAAAAGCCTTGTTTGGGTCCCACCCCTTCCCACTAAACCCGAATCTCTGGCAAGTGGAACCCTGCACGGTATTTGACTTTTTCTTCAATTAAGGTATAATCTACCTACAATAAAATGCACAAATCTTAAGTGCTCATTGAGGTTTGACGATCAAGATGTTGAACATTTCCATTACCTGGTGTCCCTTTGCCGTCAATTCCTCTCCCTCCCCACGACCATTTTCTGACTTCTTTTCTTTTTCTTTAAGCTGAGCCATCCTGCCACCTGTTGGCAGCTCTGCGGCAGCTCAGCTTGGGCCGGGCATTGAACCACTGTTGGTCAGAGCTCGCACTCTTGATTTTCTGACTTCTATTACCACCAATTATTAATAGTTTGATTTGTTCTTAGAGTTCATATAAATGGAATCACAATATGAATTTTCTTGTTTGTGTGACTGGCTTATTTTTCTCATCTTAATGTTTCTGAAGTTCTCCCATGTTTTTTGCCTATCGGTCCCTCTTTATTGCTGAGTGGTAATGAGGGATATTTGGGTTGTTTCAAGCATTTTGGCTATTATGAACTTCTATGAACAATAACGTACACGAATTTATATTTTCATTGCTCTTGGGTAAGTAACTAGGAGTGGAACTGGGTAAAATATCCAGAAGTAAAATTGCTTGGTCATAAGGTAGATACATGTCTAACTTTATAAGTAAATACCAAACGGTTCTCCAGATCAGTTGTACCATTTTAAAGTTCCACCAGCACCAATTTCAGCTGCTCTACATTCTCACCATTTGATGTTGTCAGTCTTTTAGTTTTAGCCTTTCTAATGGATGTTAAATGGTACCTCATTATGGTTTCAATTTGCATTTCGCTGAGGACTAATTATGCTGAGCATCTTTTCATGTAGTTAGTGATCATTTGTATATATTTTTTGGTTTGTTTTAAAAACAATTTGTCTTTTTATTGTTGATTTGTAAGAGGTCTTTGTATTTCAGGAGTTCTTCCTTAGATATTTTTTATTCTTTTGCCTACCCCATGAAGATATCTTCTAAGTTTTCTTCTAGAGTCTTTATGATTCTGAATTTTATATTTAGGTCTATGATCCATCTTGACTTAATTTTTATGTATGGACTGAGGTGGAGGTTGAAGTTCATGTATTTTCCAGTACAGTATTCAGCTGTTCCAGCACCATGTGATCAAAAAAATATGCTTTTTCCATTGAACTGAATTGGGGCTTTAGTCAAAAGTCAGTTGACCGTATATGCGTGAGTTAATTTCTGGACTTTATTCTGTTCCATTGATCTATTGTCTATCCTTACATAGGTGCTACACTGTTTTGATTACTGTGGCTTTATAGTAAGTCTTAAAGTCAGGTAGCGTAAGTACTCCAGCTTGGCTCTTCTTTTCTAAGAGTATTTTGATCATTCTAGAGTCTTTCCATTTCCATATAAATCTTAGAATTAGCCTGTCAATTTCTTCAAAAATGTCTGCTGAAATTTTGATAGGGATTGTGTTGAATCTAAAGATCAATTTGGGAGACATCTTAATTACATTAAGTTTCTGATCGATGAACATATATAACTTTCCATTAATTTTGGTCTTTGATTTCACTCAGCATGACTTTCATTGTGGAAGTCTTACACATCTTTCATTAGATTTATTCCTAATTTCGTTGTTGTTTACGCTATTTAATATGTTTTTATGATTTCGTTTTTAATTTTTTGTTGCTATCATGTAGAAATACAAGTAATTTTTGTATATTGTTGTATGTCCTACAACCTTGTTTATTGGCTCTAGGTGTGTGTGTGTATTTTGTTTTGGTAGATTCTATCCCTAAGGCCCTGCTGCTCTGGACTTTAATGACAGAAATGGTAAAAGGGCCTGTATTGAAAAGAAGGAATGTGATGATTTATACTGGACAGTGTTTAACTTATGGCGTTTGGGCCCCACCCGAAACTCATTAAAATGGAATCCTGGTGGTGGTGGTGGGGGGAGGGTGTAGTGTGCAGCATCGGTATCTTAAAGTTCCTCTGGAGGTTCTAGAAGTGCAGCTGAGAACCCCTGATTTAGAAGGTGCCGGGTGGCAGGCAGGCTCGAAGTCCACCTTTACTTTGAGGGGATCAGGGAGGGATGACCTACGCACCACAGGTCCATGGGAGTGTATGGGCCCGGGTCGATGCCACCCCGTCTCCTGTCTTAGCAAAAGGGCAGACAAGTTCCGGGTTCCCTTCGAGGCCAGGATGAGTGGGAGGGGAGCGCCTCACTGACAGGCACCTTCCGCCTCTCCCTTTTGACAAACAGACGGCAATAAATACCGTCACCGTTGTCACCATCGTCACTGTCGCCTCCACTAACACCCCTCCCCTCCGCGAAACACCTATCTATCCCCCCACCCCTACCCCTCCGACCTCACCAGTTTCAGACAAGGAAACTGAGGCCCACAGGGGCCAGGCATTTGCGCCAGGCCGCCGCCTAAGTCCAGCCCTTTTTCCATCCCCCATTCCAGGTACACGCAAATTAAAGGGGAGCTGGAGGAGCTGGACCGCATCACGGAGCAGACGCTCTTCGACCTGTACAAATACAACTCCTCCAGCACCCTCGTGGCCCATCCCCGCGGCCGTCGCGATCTCCGGGAGACCCTGTTGCACCCCCTGCAGCGCCTGCGGGACCCAGCACTGCCCGCGGCAGCCCGCAGAGCCCGCAGCGCGACCTCCAGCTTGCGGGACAACAACCCCCAAGTGAACTGGAAGGACTGGAAGATCGGCTTCAAGCTGGTAAGGCCCCCTGGCGGCCACGCCCACCGGCCCGAGGGGCCCAGCCCTTCCGGTTCCGCCCACGCCCTGGACCCCAATCCCTTTGCTGACCCCGCCTCCGTTGCTTACTGATGAGGCAGGACGTCTCCGCTTGCTGGCAAAATTAATTAATTAATTTTGAAAAATGACATGAAATAACATCGGTCTCTGCGCCAGCTTGGAGGGTCTCTCCTCTCTGGGGACCTCTGTGGGAGTGTTTAAGTGGCTGGAAGTCAAATCTGTGGGAAGTGCACCTTTCTGAATTGCAGTCCCCACTGGTTGGACTCATTTGGGACCCTCCAGTGTGATAGGGAACTGGGGTTCTGCGGGCCTAAGAGAAGAAGGAGACAGTGAAAGGGAGATCTAAAACTTGTTTGATAAACAAAAGAAGACAAAGAGGAAGTGGAAGAGGGGCTGAGGGAAGAAGAAAAGGAAGCCAGCTGCCTTTAGTGACGGAGTTGGCCAGACTACCAGGAGACTGGAGTTCTAGTCCCTGCTCTTGCTGGGACAAACCTCTTGGTCCCTCAGTCTTCCCATCAGTTAAGTGGGGAGAAGAATCCTTGCTCTATCCACCTTCTGGCAGAGGCTGTATAAATAGATGATCCGCTAGGCATGTACAGCTCCTGGTCTCCTCCTTGGCCTCCCACTCCAATAATCCCATGCCCTCCTGATCCATTGTTCTCGGGGCTTCTGCTTCTTTCTGCCTTCTGTTCTTGTCCACTCCTGGCTCCCCAGCCCTGTCTATCAGTCCTCAGCATCCCAGATCACTCATTCCTTGACCTTGGCCCCGCCCTGCTGCCTGACCCCTGCTGTTGGCCCTCTGACACTCTTGGTTCATGTTTCCAGTGCAATCAGAACAAATCCGACTGCTTCTACCAGACATACTCGTCAGGGGTGGATGCAGTGAGGGAGTGGTACCGCTTCCATTACATCAACATTCTGTCGCGGCTGCCGGATACCTTTACATCCCTGGAGGAAGACAAGCTGGGCAACTTCATCTTCAACTGCCGCTTCAACCAGGTCTCCTGCAACCAGGCGTGAGTCTGTCCTGCCTGGCTCTGTCCTCCCCATGGTGTCTCCTTCTTGGAGCCAGCCTAAGGCCCAGTATGGGTGGCATCCAGGAAATGCTTGTTGACTAAATAAATGCCTGCACTGAGGAGGGGAACACAGTGACCTCAGGTCCAAACCTTTGCTCCACGGATCATCTGCAGGACTTCTGCTGCTCCCTGCAGGGCTGGGTCTGAGTGAGGTAGCCTCATCTGGCTGCCCTGGGGAGGTTGGAGTTGAGGTCCAGCTTTGAGAAACCAAGGGCTGGAAGCATGGTTCTTTGTCTATCTAGGCCCCTTTCTCACTAGCATCAAACTCAGAAGTGCCTGGAGGGTCATCCGGTTCCACCCTCCACTTTCTCAGATGAGGTGGGCAGTGGTTTGGTGGAAATAGCATGGATTGAGTGAGGGACTACACCTGAGTTCCTGCTCTGGCTCTGTTACTTCCTAGCCAGGCGATTCTGAGTATTTCACATCATTCTTCAGAGCCTGTTTCTTTGTTTGTAATATGAGATTTATCCAATGTTCATTCAAACAAATATTTTTGACTGGGCTATGTGCCAGTCACTGGTCTAGGTATTTGGGATATATCAAAGAAGAAAATATATATAATCCTTGCCTTTTTGGCACTTTTACTCCTGTGATGAAGATGGTGATAACATTCATCTCCAGGTGCATGAGATGACACATTTGAGGGTACTTTGTAAACTGCAATGAATGATGGGTCTTAATTACTCTGTACTCAAGCAGGTGAAGTCACTTGTCCTAGGTCACCAGCCCTAGCTTGAGAATTATTCTTGCCAGGCATTCTTTCTATTATGATTTCTGTCATAATGTCCTTGCAAAGAGGTCATGGTAGCTGCTAGCTCTCTGAGGGCTGGGAAAGGCTAGGAGTAAGGGAGGTTTCCTTCTGTAGTCTCTGGCCTCTCCTACCCCTGCCTTCTCCTCCCTGCCTCGGCTCCTTGATTTTCAGGTGCCATCTACCTGCCTCTACCTGGCTGAGGAAGGGTGTTGAGGCAGCACCTCCACTTTACAGGGAGCGCTTCCCTCCCATGTCGCTGCAGAATGGCAGCAGGGTCAGATGTCACCTGCTTCTGCCCCCTACCCCTTACCTGGTGCATGCACTCTGCCCAGCACACAGTTTTGTTCCTGTCTTTTGTCTTCGTGTTTGTTTAGGGACAGGAGCTGCCAGCTGGGAAATGAACCGGTAGCAGCACCTGAGCCTGGGTCAGCTTACACCTGCCACGAGTCTCTGCCACCTTCCCACTTATCCCCTAACTCTGCCTGCCCCATGCTCTTACCTTTCTATCAATGGAAAGTCCATAGTTCGTCTCAGTCTTGGCGCTTAGGTCACTTCCTTAGCTCAGAGCCTCGTTATTTCTTACCTGGGTTATTATTACAACCCTTGTTCCCCCACTCCCATCCCCCCTGCTGCCGCCATCAATTTGTCTTTCTACCTCTAAATCCTCCTTTCATTCTATAACCACAGGAAGCTTTATACTTCAGTATTCATACTTCGGTTAACTGTACTTAACTATTCCAGTTAGTTCTGTTTACTATCCTTCACATGAAGGTCTCGCATGGCCTTCAGAATCAAGTTGAAGCTCTTTTTCATGACTTCCTCACCTCCCCTATAGCCAACACCCTTTCCCCTTCTCTGTATAACCTTTTCTTTAATAACAAATTTATTGAGATCAAATTCACATACCGTAAAGTTAGTCCTTTTAGTATATACCATTCAGTGGTTTTCCTTATATTCACAGAATTGTACAACCGTTACCACTATCTAATTTTAGAACATTTTCCTCAGGTAATATGTGTTCTTTTGCATCTAGTTTCTGTCACTTAGCACAGCGGTTCTCAACCTGTGGGTTGTTCGACCCCCGAATGACCCTTTCACAGGGGTCGCCGTGTACTCGTATGTGGGCGTATCTGCATGTGGGCCTGGAGACGGATAGAGGAGCGGTGTCTCGGTTCCTAAGACCATCGAAAATATGTGTTTTCTGATGGTCTTAGGCAACCCCTGTGAAAGGTTGAGAACTGCTGACTTAGCATAATGTTTTCAAGGTTCATCCATGTTGTAGCATGTATCAGTACTTCATTCTTCTGTATGGCTGAATAATATTCCATTATATGGATGTACCATATTTAATTTATCTATTCCTCAGTTGATGGACTTTTGGGTTCTTTCCACTTTTTGGCTATTATGAACATTCCTGTACAAGTTTTTGTATGGATGTATGTTTTCATTTCTCTTAGGTATATACCTAGGAGTGGAATTGCTTGGTCATATCTATGTTTAACATTTTGAGGAACTGCCAGACTGTTTTCCAAATGGCTGTGCTATTTTACATTCCCACCAGCAGTATATGAGGATTTTAAATTCTCCACTTATTATTGTCTGTCTTTTTTACTTCAGCCATCCTGATGAATCCCTATAACCTTAATAGTCAACTTATATAGCTCTCACTAAGTGCTAAGCACTGTTCTAAGTGTAATTTAATCCTTATAACACCCCTGTGAAGTATTGTTAGTGTCCCCATTTTACCGATAAGGAAACTGCAGTTCAGAGAGATGAAGTGACGTAGTTGGTCCCATAGCTAATACTTGTTAGAGCTAGGATTCAAATACAAGTAGTTAGATCTGGAGTCTGTGCTCTTCACCATCACATGATACTGCTTCTCATATATTCTCATGATGTGCTCTTTGTTTGTGTTTTTGCAAAATGTGTATGGAATATAAATGGTGTTATGTGATATATCTCATTTCACCTCTTTTTTTTTTTTTTACTAAGCTCTCTTTTGAAGATCTATCCATGTTGCTCCATCTGCTCTGTTGATTCCACCTGCTGCATAAAGTCCCTGATGTGCACCCACCACATTGTACCTGTCCCCACTCCCATTGAGCCAGGCCCTTCAGGACTGGCCTCTGCTCACTCCCGTAGCCTCTTCCTCCGTCCCCTCCTGAATCCAGCCTTTGCTCTGGAAATGCTGGTTTCCTAGCCCTTCCCAGAATGTGCACCAGTATCTCACACCTCTGTGCCTTTGCTTTTCACACAATGGACTATTACAGATCATCTATTGGACTGTTACAGATCATCTATTGTAGTTCCAAGTTCCACATTTTATAGATGAGGAGAATAAGCTTAGAAAAAATGACTTGCTCAAGGCCATACAACTAGAACCCCACTCATTTCTGCACTGGGATCTGATCTTCCTCCTCTCAGCTCCGTGCTCACCACTCGTCTCCCTCTCTCCTCCAGCCTTGTTCCCTTCCCTTTCATTCATTCATTCACTTGACAACTATTTATTAACTACCTTCTATATGCTAAGAACTATGCAATTAACCCAGAGATGATACAGAGATGAATGGGATGTGGCTCTAGTCTTTAAGGAGATCACAGTCCAAATGGGGAACTAAGATCTAGACATGTGAGAAGCTAGGGACACTGCGAGAGTCTTCATAATGCAACACAGTGACACAAGAGAGGTCACAGACCAGTGAGGTCAGGTGGCCTGGTGGGAGGAACCTGGGCTAGAAGGTAGGTGACCTGCATTTGAGTCCAAAGTTTATCATCACTGTTTGTACCCTAGCTTCCTCTCTTGTGATGTGGGGATGATGCCCTCACAGGCTGTTGGTTGGCACATAGCAGGTGATCAGGAAACAAAGGGTCTTGAAAGTCCCTCTCTCCCTGACTCCCTACAGTTTCCTCTGTGACCCTACTCTCTCTCCTAAATAGGAATTACTCTCACTTCCACCACCCGATGTATGGGAATTGCTACACTTTCAATGGCGAGAACAACTCCAACCTCTGGATGTCTTCTACCCCTGGGATTGACAATGGTGAGCGACTCACCATTCCCTCAATCCCCGACCTCTGCCTCAGCCCTGCCTACTGTCTTGCCCACTCACATTTACCCACCTTGAACTCATGGCCTAGAGATGCTGTGCGCCTCTGAGTCCTCACTGCTGTTTCTCCCTTATGGGCACTACATAGTTCATTCCAGGTGTGATAGGAATCCTTCTAGCCTGCCCCCAGAATCCAGCTCAGGGGTTGCCAAATCCATTGGTAGGTCTTCCTGTTTTACTCTCCTTGGAACATTAGGGACTGGGTAGGGTGGGAGGGTGGGTTTCCATTCCCTAATGCTTCTCCAAGACCTTCCCCCTACTCTGCTGTCTCTATACCCTCCAGGTCTGAGCCTGACACTGCGCACAGAGCAGAATGACTTCATCCCACTGCTGTCCACAGTGACTGGGGCCAGAGTAACTGTGCATGGGCAGGACGAGCCTCCTTTTATGGATGATGGTGGCTTTAACTTGCGCCCTGGTGTGGAGACCTCCATCAGCATGAGGAAGGCAAGGATGCTACCTGGGAGGCCTGGGAGGAGAGGCCTAGATTGGCAAGGGGCGGGGAGAGGGCATGGGAGGTGGACTTGACAGCCAGAAGGCTGTGGAGGGAGCTCATGCAGGCTAGGTCTTGAGTATGCAGAGGTCTACCGGAGCAGAAATCAGGTGAGGGGGCTGGCAGAGTGGGCACCAGGAAGAAGGGACCTGAGGGGTAGACCTTGGATGAGAGTGCTGAGAAGGGGTTCAGGACATGTGTAGGATTTCAGGGGATGCTCTGGGCCCAGTGGCCTTGAAATAGCACTGGGTTGGGTGACGGAGGTCTGCTGGGAGCATGTTTTGAAATGGGGAGGCAGACAGGAGAGGCCAGTTAGGCAGGAATGCAACCTGGGACTGAGGGAAGACAGAGAATTCAGGAAGAGACCTGGGCCACTTGCTCTGACTCCTGACTTCCCGGTGTGTGTGGGTTCACAGGAAGCCCTGGACAGACTTGGGGGCAACTATGGTGACTGTACCAATAATGGCAGCGACATCCCTGTCAAGAACCTTTACCCTTCCAAGTACACGCAGCAGGTGAGGCCAGCCTATTTCTGTGGCAGCCATCTCCCAGGCCTACACTGTTCGTCAGTCAAAGTTGGAGGGTGTGTGTGCGCGCGCACGCGTGCACGTGAATAGAGGGATGGAGGTGCAGTGGGGAGAATTGTTTGTCCCTCCCTTCTGTGCTTCTCCTGGGCCGTGTGAGGGGGAGGGCAAGCCTGAACCCGCTTTCTGCTTCACTCCTCTCCTCCAGGTGTGTATTCACTCCTGCTTCCAGGAGAGCATGGTCCAGGAGTGTGGCTGTGCCTACATCTTCTACCCGCGGCCCAAGCATGTGGAGTACTGTGACTACAGGAAGCACGATTCCTGGGGTGAGAGACCAGGAGGATGCCCCTGAGCCTCCCCATCTGACCCAGGACTTTCCCGGGGCCCTTCCCTGTCAGCGCCCTCTGTTTGCGGGGCGGCTGCTGGCTCTCACTGGCCTTCACAATTTTCCCTGTCTCTTATTTTCCAGGCCTTAGACTCGCCGCTCTCAGGTTTCCTCTTACTGTCTCTGTTCCTCCCTACACTTGCTCTCTCTCTCTGTTGTGGCTTCTGTGTGTTTATGAAGGAATGGCCCCATTTAAAAAATAACTTGCAGCACAAGGAAGGAAGAACACGTGAGGAAAATCTCCCCGCTCGGCCTGCTGAGGTCTCTGCGCACGCTCTGCCTAGAGCTTCCTCGTCTCAGTCCTCAGGCCCTGGGCCAGGCACGGGATAACGCACTGGATGCAAAGAGAAAATACTAGAAGTTAAGTGTGTCTAGATCATTCCCTTACATCTTCCATTTTATGTATGTTTTACAATGTAGCCGGTTTGTGATTTACAAACCCAATACATGTATTGGAATTGCTTATTTAAGAAGTTTTCACCTACAGGAGGTATCAATCAAAAAAGTTGGAGAGTACCGGAGTCTCCTTATCCTGGTCTAGGAGTAGATAAATTCCTTTTTCTTTACAGCTGAGTTATTCAGCAGGGAAGCTGCATAGTAGGAAGCTAGGGGAGAGAGGGAGAGAGAGAGAGGGAGAGAGGGGGAGAAAGAATCCTAAACAAGAAACATAGAAAACAAAGGGTTGGTGTTCCTGGTGCATGTGCTCTTATCTGGAGCACTTGACTAGTCCTTCCGAGGGTCCTCCTCTCTGGGCTCCCCCTGGGACCCGCTTTCCCTCAGGAGGTGGGTGGCTGGCCCTTGCTGGAGGACACAAACCTTCACACCTCTCAGGGGATGTGGCAGGGGAGCACTACAGACCCCAGAGTTGAGTGTCTGCCTCTGTCTTGGCTGCGTGTGTGTTGATCTCTCTGCCTCCTTCCTTCCCTGGGTCTGCTCCACACAGCTCTCCGCCCTGCCTGTACTTTGCAGCTGTGGCCTCCCTTCCTGTTTCTCTGACCTTCAAAGATCACAGTGCATCAGAGCTGGAGGGAAATGCCGAGCCCTTCTGGCCTCACCTTCTCCTTTCTTAGATGGACAAGCAGAGGCCCAGGGGAAGGTGTGACGTCCCAGGAAGTCCACATGTGACTCTGCTCCCGCCTGCCCACAAACAATGAGTTCTCTGTGGTTGTGAGTTTGAAGAAGATCTGGGCGAGAAAAATAACAATACTGATTGCTGAGAAGCTGTGAGGATGAAAGAGAGGAGCTAGGCTAAAAACTCAGTCTGTTGAGTTTCCTAAGGACTGCTTACTCCTCAGAGAACAGGGCCCAGCTGCTCTCCAGTCTTCCTAATTAAAGAACCTCAGCCCTGGTAGATGGAGAAATTTGGGTCAGAAATGAAGGAGGGCTTCGGACTGGGTGACTAAAAGCAGCAAGAATGACAAAATAAACTTACTTAGACCTTGGCAAATGGGGGAGAAAGGGAATCCACAGACCCCTTCTTCTTCTTCTTCTTCTTCTTTTTTTTTTTGTAACAGCTTTATTGAGATAATTCAACCCATTTGAAGTGTACAGTTCAATTTTAGTATAGTTTTAGTTTTTAGTATAGTCATAGAGTTAGTTGTGCAACAATGGCCAAAATCAATTTTAGAACATTAAATTTAGAACATTTATCACTCCAAAAAGAAACTTTGTACCCATTAGCACGCTCCAATCTCCCCATTCCCGGCACTCACAGACCCCTTGTCCCTCTCCGTCTCACCTCCTGCCCTTGGCAAGTATTAATCTACTTTCTGTCTCATAGATTTGCCTCTTCTGGGCATTTCATATAAATGGAATCATATAACACGTGGTCTTTTGTGACTGGCTTCTTTTACTTAGCATCTACTTTCAAGGTTCACCCACCTTGTAGTATGTGTCAGGGCTTCTTTTCTCTTTATGGCTGAATAATGTTCCACTGTATGGACAGACTGATTTTGTTTATCCATTCATCAGGTGATGGACATTTGGGTTGTTTCTGCTTTTTGGCTATTGTGACTAATGCTGCTATGAACATTTGTGTACAAGTTTTTGTTTGAATATATGTTTTGAGTTCTTTTGGGTAATTGCTTGGTCATATCGTAGCTCTATGTTTAACATTTTAAGGAACTGCCAGACTGTTTTCCAAAGTGGCCACACCACTTTACATTCCCAGCAGCAATGTAGGAGGCTCCAATTTCTCTATATCCTCACCATCCTCACCAACACTTGATATTGTCGTTTTTCTTTTTTTTCTTTCTTTTTTTTTAGCTGAGCCATCCTGCCACCTGTTGGCAGTGATATTGTCTTTTTTCAATTACAGCCATCCTACTTGGTATGAAGTGTTATCTTGTGGTTTAATCGCATTATTTTTACACAGCTTCACATTTTTTTTTTTAGCTGGGGAATTAGGGAAGGGGAACAGTGTTGGGGAATTGGGGAAGGGGAACAGCCAAGTTGTCCTTCAATCTTAGTTGTGGAGGGCACAGCAAGCTCAGCTCCAAGTCCAGTTGCCATCTGGCCACCTGTCACCGCTCAGCTCAAGGTGCCGTATTCAATCTTAGTTGCGGGTGGGTGCAGCTCAGTACCCAATGTGGGAGTTGAACTGGAAACCTTGTTGCTAAGAGTGCACGCTTTAACCACTGAGCCATTCGGCCGCCCCACGGCAGCTTAGGGCAGCTCAGCTCAAGGTGCTGTGTTCAATCTTAGTTGTGGGTGGTCATAGCCCGCCATCCCATGTGGGAATTGAACCGGAAACCTTGTTGTTAGGAGCACGTGCTCTCACCAGCTGTGCCATCCTGCCACCTGTTGGTAGCTCAGTGGCAGCTCAGCTTGGGCGCAGCTCACTGGCCCATGTGGGAATCAAATCGGCGACTCTGTTTCTCAGAGCTCACACTCTTAACCAACTGAGCCACTCGGCCGGCTCCTTCCCATTTTTATTTTTGACTTTTTAATTTTTGTCCATATTTTACACATCTTTACATAGGTATATCCTGGTTTTTGTTTGTTTGTTTTATTTATTTTTTATTCCTGACTTAGCTTAACTTCTTAAACAGCTTTTGGTGTGGCCACTCAGGAAGCATCACTATAATCTATATAATGCCCCTATGAAGGGGGTGCTCAGGGATCTTGGGAGACCTCTTGGGTGTGGGGTGCTGAGGTGCCTTAGGAAAACGGGCACCTCTCTGCACCCACAGGTTACTGCTACTATAAGCTCCAGGATGCCTTCTCCTCAGATCGCCTAGGCTGTTTCACCAAGTGCCGGAAGCCATGCAGGTGAGTGTCCCCTCTTCCTGGGGCACAGGTTGGGCAGCTGGCTGCTTGACTGGGTAGAATATGGCTACTCAGCTAAGCCTTTGAGTGGGAGAGCCCCACCCCCGTCACTGAGTACCTTTCTCCATCCCCAGTGTGACCAGCTACCAGCTCTCTGCAGGTTACTCACGATGGCCCTCAGTGAAATCCCAGGTAAAGTGGGGAAGGGGAAGGACAGGGGATGTGTATGTGTGACACTGTCGTCTTCTCTGGGTATATGTGTATGGTGTGTTTGACGCCACCCCCAACCCTGTAAGCCTGAAGAGTATGGGTGACCCCCTTGACATCTCAATTGTTTCCCAGGACTGGGTCTTCCAGATGCTATCCCTACAGAACAATTACACCATCAAAAACAAGAGGTCAGTCCTACCCTGGTCCCAGCCCCAGGAAAGGAATCTTTGGGAAGGAAAACAAATCTGGGAAGAAGAATTGATGCAGTTGATTGGAGGAGGGTGTTTGTGAGGGTCTGAGAAATTAATCCTCTGCCATTTCTTCCCACCTTCACCCCCACTCCAAAGAAATGGAGTCGCCAAACTCAACATCTTCTTCAAGGAGCTGAATTACAAAACCAATTCTGAGTCACCCTCTGTCACAGTATGTCCTGCCTCACTGAGCCTGTGATTATATGGGGGAGGGGGAGTGGGCGTCTAATTGGGTGGCTGTCAAGGCAAACAAAGGGTTGCCTCTGTGGGGCCAGAAGTGCCTGGGCCTCGAAGGTAGGGGACCAAGGAAAGGGGTGACGGGTGAGAGTGAGAGGGTTGGAAGAAGGGGAACTTGGCTGGGGGATGAAGTCTCTGGAGTTAGTGGGAGGGAAGGGTGTGCCAGATGGGTATGGCTTGGACAGAAGGGGCCCAGGGGGCTACAGAGAGGCTGAGAGAGGTGGCTGAGGGCCTCAGGTAAGGAGGGATGGGGCTCCTCTGCCAGAGCCACCCAGGACCTCTGCCCCTGTGGTCAGCGTGCCTTTCTCCCTCACAGATGGTCACGCTCCTGTCCAACCTGGGCAGCCAGTGGAGCCTGTGGTTCGGCTCCTCGGTGCTGTCTGTGGTGGAAATGGCCGAGTTCATCTTTGACCTCATGGTCATCACATTCCTCATGCTGCTCCGGAGGTTCCGAAGCCGATACTGGTCCCCAGGCCGAGGGGGCAGAGGTGCCCAGGAAGTGGCCTCCACTCCAGCTTCCTCTCTCCCCTCCCGTTTCTGCCCCCAGCCCTCCTCTCCCACCTCATCCCCTCCAAGCCCTGACGCTTCCCGGGCCTTGACTGCGCCTCCACCTGCCTATGCCACCCTGGGCCCCTGCCCAGCTCCATCCAGCTTGGCAAGTGCCAGCTCCTCTGCCTTCCCTCCAGAGGAGCCCTGAGAGGGGAGATGATTGTCAGCCCCCAAGGCAAGCAGCTTCCCCTGGTGGGCAGGAGCCAGCCTTGGTAGGATTCAAGAATGTTTGGGCTTTTTCTCAGAGCTGCCCAACTGCCTTGTGCGGGAGGGAAGCAGGTTGGATAAGGCTAACGAAATTGCCCAGAGAACAGGGATCAAGGAAGCTACCTAGAATTGTCCTGGCTCCTGCACGGTACCCCCTGGTCCTCCCTCTAGAACACTCTGGTTTCCCCTCCCAAGTGCAGACAAGTCTCCTTTTCCCTTGGATGAGCCAAGTCAAACTTGGATCTTTGACAGAGAACTTTCCCAGGAAACAACTGATGACTAGAACAAAACAAACAAGGGCACACAAAGGCATGCCCAGGTTTCCTGCACAAAGATGACTGAAGCCAGCGCCAGAGTGGCCTGGCCACACTGCCTTGCAGTGACACAGACGGTTGCTCCCCTTCTTGAACTTGGGTGGGGAACCCCACCCAAAAGCCCCCTTGGTTAGTTCTTGGACAGTTTCCCTTCTCTGACTCCCCAGGGCAGGGGCTGGAGCAGACCACTGTAGTAAAGGCTTGGCTGTTACCAGTCGGGCCCAGGAGTCTTCCAGCCTCATCTACGCCATGCCCCCACAGAACCACACCCCAACACCTCTGCCCTGTGTCCTTCATAACTCTAAATATTGGCTCAAACTATCTCCTAAGCCTGGAAGCTTTCCGCACCATCTGCTGGAGAACTCCTATGCATCCCTTAGTAACCTGCTCAGATATCGCTACTTCTGTGAAGGCTTCTGCCCCATCTTGTCTTCCCGAGAATTGATCACTCCCCTCTCCCCTGGACTCCCATAGCACACCATAACATCTATTGGAATGCTGATTTTGCATTTTACTTTCTTGTTCATTTGTGTCTGCCTCCCCAACTAGACTGTGAGCTCCTTGTGGTCAGGGACCGGTGTTCATTTATGTATCCTCAGGGCCTAACCCAGTGTTCCACTTGGAGCAAGTAGGCAGGTACTCAATAAATATTTGCTGCATAAAGAATGTCTGGAGAGGGCCGACCGAGTGGTGTGTTGGTTAAGAGCTGGCTTGGGATGCCAGCTCTGAGCAGCAGGGCCCCGGTTCAGATCCCACATGAGGGCCAATGACACTGCCTTCTACACCTAAGATGGTGAACAACAGCTCGACCTGGAGCTGGGCTGCCATGAATCGCTGGCGACAGCATAAGCTGCAGTGAGGCTGCAGTGGGCTGCCGTAAAGCTACCTTGAATGGCTGGCAGCTGGCGTGAGCCGCCGGCAGCTGGTGTGACCTGCCAAGAGCCACTGTGAGCAGCCGTCCATTGGCTGGTGACCGAGCTGCCTCACCCGGGAAGAGTGCAATGATAATACCAACATGGGCCAGTGAAGCGACGTCCTCCACAACTAGACTGAAGAACAGAAGGACAGCAACTTGTCTGTTCCCCTTCCCCGATTCCCCAACGCTGTTCCCCTCCCCCAATTCCCCAATAAAATCTTAAAAAAAAACAAAAAACAAAAAAACAGAATGTCTGGAGAGATGGATGGGGCACCCTGAAAGGGGTAGGGAGTGGATGTGAGTCCCTGGGCCTCTGCCCAAGCTCCCAGGCGGTCCCAGGGTGGGGGTGGGGGGACAAACTCCTATACCCCTTGGCTTCATTATGGAAGTGACCATTCTTCAGGGACCTTAGGAGGGACAAACTGCCCTGCTAGTTCCTCCATGGACGTTGCTGAGCTTCTGTGTGCCCATCACCATGTTAGGGTGGGAGGACACACACGTGGGTGCTCCCCTCAGGGAACCTACTAGGCAGTGTTTGGGATAACTCACCCCCTGTCCTTTGTCTGAACTTCCTTTTCCTTCCTAACTTTAGTTACCATCATCAGTAATCCTCCGCTCCATTTATTGAGCACCCACAACTCACCACCCAGCTGCAACATAACATCCTCATTTGCTTACCTCCCCATTAAGTGTTCGGTAGCGGTGGAGGAGGATGAGACTCAGGCCAGATTCTTCTGAACCCTCGAAGCTTTGTATATCCTCATTCCTGTACCATTATAGAGAGAACAGCGGTTGGAATCCTCCCAGCTCTTAATAGAGGAGAAATTGAGGGATGTTGGAGTGGGACCCCGATTTTTGGACCCCTGGTCCTTCCCCCCCCATTCTAGCATCAGATCTGCAACCCAGAAGTTACCCTTCCTTATCATCTTTGGGGACACGTCCCTTGCTGCTCTGGTCTTACTCCCCTCAGTTATAGTCTCTCTGTCCTGAGGAGCCAAGTGAATCTTGGGAAAAGAGAAAGAGATGATGAAGGGAGTGGAGAGAGAGAAAAGGTTGTGACCGGGAACTGATGTGGTGCTTTCTGACTTCCCTTTCCTAGACTCAAGCCAATGAGGGGAAAACGGTGGTGTAACAACAATTTCCTTTGTCAGAGCCCTCAGGTTCAGCCTGCCCTTGTGTGCTTTTTGCCACAGCCCAGCCTCAGTCTTGTCCCACGTGTCCCCTGCTCCCTTTCCTCTGGTTCTGGTGGGCAGGACCTGCTGGACAAAGCTGGGTATGTTATGGATGACAGCAATAGCTCCCGTGCCCCTTCCTACCTGGAATTCTCTTGGCCTGCCGCGTCTCCACCCTGTGGTGCTTCCTTCTCTCCATCCCTTATCTATATGCTACCCATAGGCCTTATGGTTAAGAGTTAGAATCAGCGTGTTAGAGAAGAAAGGGTTTAAGTTGCCTCCTTTTCCCTATCGAGGTTAACAGGTGAAGTGGCTTGCCCAAGTTCATGATTCTTACAGAACCAGCCTGGGACCTGGGTCTCCTCTGATCCACCCTGTCTGCTGTGACATGTGGAGTCAGAAGGGTAGGGCTGGGACTGGAGCCCACGTCACCCTGACTTGGAGTCCAGTGCCCTTTTGATCACTCTGTACAGCTGTGGTGTGTGTGTGTGTGTGTGTGTGTGTGTGTAGGAAGGACACACATGATGGGGGAGGGGAGACTGCTATATGAACCTCTTTTCTGTCCATCCTTTGCTCCATAGACCCTAACTGCCAATTCTGTCATCCCCTAGTTTGCTCCTATACTATTTCTCCGTCTCTCCCATTCTCTCTCTCACCATTATTTCCTCTTCCCCTGGAGGAATTATGGTCATATTCTTACCTCCTCTGTGAGACTAGTTAGCTTTTCATATTCCTAGATCTACCCACCTCTCACCATCTTTTTGAAACAGAATTTCATTGAACAATTTAATGCCACATTTCTCAAAACTTTAAACTTGTTGAGTAAATAAGCATTTATCCAGAACAATGAGAGATTCTCCTTTTGTGCCAAGCTATGTGTAACGGCCAGTTGGCACAGACTATTAAAAATTCCTTGTAACATTAAAAATACGACATTGAAGTTTTTATTAATTATGAATACAAACTACTAATATTGCTACCACTTATTGAATACTTAATATATGGCAAGCATTTGCTAAACACTTTACATGCATTTAATCATCAATGCATATGACGGGAGGGGCACTGGGCATGTTCCCCATCTTGTAGACGGCCCTTTGGCCCTCCTTGCTTCTTCATGTTGGAAACTGGGCATGCGGATTCTTGCACTTTATTCCAGTGATTTTTTCTTCAGGAGCTCTGCTCTGGGTCCACTGTACCGCACTTACAGGCTCCCTGTGTGTTGGTAGAGGGAAGCCCCTTCCTCCATGAGTTGAGCTTCAACCCCCCAGTTCTCAGATGGGGTGAAGTCAGCCCAAGGTGGGGGCATCCAAACTCCACTCTCATCTATAGATGTTCTGCTCTTGGGATCAGAGAGGCGTGGCCAGGGAAGAGCCAGGCCGGGTAGACTCTGGGGTGGGGGGTCAGCTGGTTGGATCAAGGGGAGAAGGGACTGAGAGCTCTGATTCCAAGTCACAAAGTCCTTGGACCTCATTCTTCTCTGGTCTCCCTGCATTTCTAGCAACTTCAGCAGCTGGAGGACCTTGGGTCTGGGCTGGCTATAGGGAAAGTCCTTGTGCCCAGAGAATATCTGGGTGAACATTGTACCCTTGTTGTGGGATTCATTTGGGAGATGTCCTGCACAAACAGGGGTGGCATAAAATACCCAAAGAGTCAGGGTGTGGGGTCTGACTCAAAGGGACAGATAAAAAGTGGCAGTGTGTCTATTGTAGCAAAATGAGCCCTTAGATTGAAGCCTGGAGTCTGGGATTTCTGCTGGCTCTGCAGGGAACATGCCATGTGTGTCTCTGGGCCTCAGTTTTCTCATCTATAAAACAAGAGGGGTGCAGTAGATTATCTCTAAAGTCAGTTTAGACCGATGTACAGAATATCTGGGAAAAGGACACTGGGAATGTATTAGTGATATCCGATTGAGATATCTGTAATTCTGAAAGCATTTTCACAGATATGATCTCATTAATCCTCATGACATCACTTTCCCATAGCAGTGGGCTAGGTAGGCATTGTTCTTCTCATTTAATAAGGAGCTGAAACCCAGTGGAGGTGTCCTGCCTGAGGTCCCACTATTGTTTGGGGGCAGAGCTAGAATCAGCAGGTGGGGGACCCAGCCAAGCACAGGTTGGATAAGAACCAGATTGGGGGGAACTGTGTATGAGGGCCCCAGAAAGGGCAGAAAACCTTGGTTAGGAATTACTCTGAGGTTTGGGCTGGAAGGGTAAATTCCCAATAAAGTGGGAGATTAGGGTGTCAGTGGAGAACTTTGGGGAAAAAGGAAGAGTTACCAAGGAGCAGAGTACTTGTCATCTATCAGACGCTTATCTGCCCTCTTTCAAAAAATCCTTACAGCAACCACATGAGATAGGTTCTCTCCATTTTGCAAATAGGAAAACAGGTTCAGAGAGTCTAGGTAAGGGTGTCGGCAAACTGCAGCTCACAGGCCACCTGCGGCTCTTTGGGTACGTTCTGTCTCAAAAGTTTGCCCACCCCTGGAAGAGCCAATCCTGTCCCTTACAATTTAAAAATTATTCGTGAGCCATAAGTCTATTTTTACATAATCACCATTATGTGAATAATATCCTTTAAAATTTTTATAAATGAAACTATGATAGTTTTATTTTCATTTTCATTTTGACTTCAGAGCCTGCGGCTCGCGAGCCGCAGTTTGCTGACCCCTGGCAGCTCTTCTCAAAAGCTTGCCGACCCCTGGTCTAGGTTGTTTGTCCAAGACCACCCAGCTAAAAAGTAGAGGATCCTAAACTGGTACCCAGTGAATCTGACTGCAGAGCCCTTCCTATAGTTGGTCATTTGGGAAAGGCCTGGTGATGGGGGTGAGGAGGGAGGGGGCTGATTGCACCTTGGTGTTTGGTTGGGAGTGGTCAGATGGGTGGGTTGGGAGCGCATGGCGGGCGGACCCAGGGCTCTGGCTTCTGACTGCTCTACAAAGGGTTAAAGAACTTTCGCCCCCTCCTCCCGCCTCCTACCTCCTCCTCCCGTCTCCTCCCCCAAGCTCTTCCTGTCCCGCGCTGTTGCAACACCCATTTGCCACTCTCCCTACCCCTCCCACCTCCTCTTTTCTCCTCTTGCTTTAATTTTGTCGGAGTTCTCCGGACTCAGGCTCAGGTTCGGGCCTTCGGGGTTTGTGGCCTCTGGGACCCGGTCATAATTTCCATCCCAGTCGCAACTCGTAAGTCCCCTACTCAAGGCCCAGGCTCCATTTGGGACCTGCCGACCCGCTCATGCCGGGACTCTGTCGCTGCCACCCGCCTGCCGCCGCCACTGCCGCCACTGCCTGAGCCCTGATGGGGGAGTGAGAGGTCACAGCTGGCCGGACATGGGCCTCCCCACCGTGCCTGGCCTGCTGCTGCCACTGGTGAGACCAGGGACAAGGGCCGAGGGGGCTGGTGGGCAAAGGGCACCCGCGGGCCGCCTCCGCCGGCCGGCACGAATGGGCCTTTGTTGGGAGAAGGCCGTGACCTGACAGAAGCCCAGGTTTCCCTGTTCATCCACGTGCCCTGAATCAGGGGCAAGGGAGAAGTTTGAAAGGCAGGGAGTAAGAGGGAGCCCTGGCCCCTGACAGCCAAGGAAGTTTGCTGGGGGGCTACGGGGTATCAGGAAATGTGGGAGCAGGTGATGGCCGAGGGTGGGGCAGATTTGGTAGGGAAAGGAAAGGAGTGGAAGAAGGAAGTTTAGTCCTCTCAGAGTCCAGAGGATCCAGAGCTCTGTCCCCTGGGTCAGCTGGCTGGCCCCGCGTGTGTTGCGCTGTGGAGAGGTGAGGCTTCCAGTGGGTCCTGACTGAGCAAACTCTTGCTAGAGGGCAGCAGCTGGATGATAGTGAAGTGGGAAAACTGAGTCTGGGAGAGGAGGTGGGTTGGTGGGGTAAGTTTGGGGTGCCATGTGGTGGGGGCTATTTGAGAGTCAAGTGGGAAACAGAGGGGCAGTGCAGCCCGGTGGAGAGCATCCCCAGTGCTCTCCCCAGGCCCAGGCCTCCCACTTGGGGGCATTCTGCAGCCTCTGCTTTTGACTCAGCTTCTAGGCAGGTGGCCTCTGTTGGACCCACCCTCTCCAGGTAGCTAACACCACCGCCACCTGGACAGTGACCCTGTGCCTGCCCTCCAGCTCTCCCCCAAAGCCTTAGACAACAATCCCTTGGTTTCTGCTACAGCTCAGTTTGGGGAAGTTGGTATAAAGTTGCTTTCGTCACTGGAAAATGTCCCTTTCTCTTGCCTCAGCCTTGTGTCAAGGTATCCTTGACCTCCCTCGGGTCCTGGCATCGTCCTTTGCAGATGCCCTGAGCCCTCTCCCCTACCTAGCTGGGTGGATTTCCCAGCCTGTGCTGGACAGTTTCTTCGGAGTCCCTGGCCCACCTGTGGCTCCTCCCACCTTTCCTCTCCTCAGGGTGTTATACTTTCTCTCCCAGAAGTCTCCTCAGACATTGCTCAGACTCCCCTTTTTAAAACCCTTTCTCCCTTAGTTCCCTCTCTTCCTTGCTATACTCCACATTTCTAGACCTTAATTCCTCATGCAACACCTCTTTATCATGTCTCACTATTCTTCTGCTTCTCCCACCTCATCTTTTCTCCCCAGCCCCATCTTTTCCCTTCTCTCAAGGGTGTTCTTCTCCCAACCCCCCACCATCTCCCCTCCCAGTTGCCCTGCCATCTTACTTCTCTCTTTGGGAGTAGATCACCTGGATTGAAATCCTGGCTCCTTCACATACTAGCTGCCTACACTTGAGCAGGTTATATAACCCCTTCATGCCTTACTTTATCTCTAAAATGAACATAACTATCATTACCTCATAGTGTTGGTTTTTTTCCCCTCCTAATGTTGTTTTAAAGATTGAATAGATTGATATATATTAAGTGTTCAATTTATTAAGTGCCTGCTCTGTGCTAGACACAGGTGCTAGGATTACAGCAGTGAGCAAAATCGCTGCCCTCATGGTGTCTACATTCCAGCAGAGCAATAGGGTATAGCAAATAGAAAGCACTCAATAGACATATCTTTTATAGTTAGTGTTAGTACTATTAGTAGTAATTACATGGTGTTTGGAAAACAGAGGGGTATGGTAGCCTGAACAGATAAAGGAAAGTGCCTGGGGCTTATCCAGCCCAGGTTGGGGTAAGACTGTTGAGGGAGCCAGCTCAGCCTGGAGCTGGAGGGGAAACGGGGTATGCAAGGACTGGGTAAGGCTCTCGATGAGCTTTCCAACTGCTCACCATTCAATGGGCAATTCAGAGCACGCAGTGTGTCTGCGTCGGGGATGGTAGTGGGGAAGAATACAGGACAGTGACAAAGCAAACAGGACTTTGCTGCACTCCAAGAGCTTACAGTATAGGAGCCAAGACAGCATCCAGAAAAAAAATGATTTCAGAGAACAGTCTGGAGGAAAATCCCCACAAAAGCATTGTGATGTGGTGCCCTGGAACACCGATGGGAGGCCGAGCCAAGGAGGAAAGCACTGTCAAGCTGCCTTTTGCTTAGCAGGTCTCAACTCCAGTATCTGTGTTCCTGGAGTGCTCCCTGCACAGATCGCAGAGGCTATGGTTGACTGTCTCTGACCCAGCAGAGAACTCATGAGAGCACGAATGGTGTATTTCATCTCTGCCTCCCTGGCAGCCAGGTTGCTCCTTAACTATTTGTTGAATGAATTAATGAACAAAAGATTGGCCAGATGGGATGAGGGAGGGAAAGCCTCATACATAGAAAAGTGGATTTGGGGCTGAGATTGAAGGCACTGACTGGCAGGGTGGCTAGAAAAAGAAGGGAGACTGGTTTGAGGGAGAGTGGAAGAATGAGAGATGGGTTTTGTGTTGGAAATGGTAGTGGTAAGAAGCTGAACACCTTGGCTGGAGTGGAAGGACCATGTGTAGGAACAAGGAGAAATGAGAATGAGAAAATCGGAGAAAGTCAGGGAGGGGATGAAGAGAAGATCTAGAACGTGGTCCCAGGTAGAGGAATTCATTCATTCATTCATTCATTCATTCATTCATTCATTCATTCATAAACGGTTCTCTGAGGGTCCATTGCATTTGGGAGAATGTGTTCAGAATAGCAGTGAGGTACCTCTGCAAGAGCTTATTTAGAAAAGCGGTTACCTGTGGAAATGATGTTGAGGTCAGGCCTTGAGAAGAAGATTCCCACAATTGCAGGTGCAAGTTGAAGCCTGAACACAGATAAGAAAGTCTGCAGGATGAGTTGGAGCAGGAAGGGGGCTGGGCAATTGGCTGGAAGACAGTTGGCAACAGTCCAGGTATGTGGCACGGACATGGAGAAAACGAGATCACAGAGGAAGGACTGACAAGAAAACTGACAGGCTGGATGGCAGCAGGGGATGGGGTGGGGGGTCCTGAGGAAAGAAAGGTGGCAAACGTTCTGACACTGGTGCTGAGAAGTTGGTGGTGTGACATTTGTCTAGGCCAGGCAATTGAATTTAGTTTGGGGCATGTTAAGGGTCCAGGGAATAACCAAGTGAAGTACGTGTCTAACACGCTAGAGCAGAGGTTCTCAAACTCTTATCTGTCTTCGTATCATTCGTAGGTGCTGCTCTTACTAGTGACTCTCAAAGGGAGAGAAACACTTCTCACCATCTCTAGTGAGGGTGTTCGTCTGTGTGTATGGGTGTGGGATGGAGGGGGTGTTACTTGGAGAGCTCTCCCCTGGAGATAAATATATTCCTACTGTGGGTGGGACACTGACTCCCTGCTTCCCTCTTTAGAAATCACTGGCTTCACCTGGAGTGGAAGACAGATCAGCCAATTAGATCAACCCATGAATCCATGTTTATTTTGCTCCCCCAGTTGTGGGTGCTGAGAAGATACCCAGGAAGATAGGGCACTATCTCTGATCAAGACACTCTTTCTGATCTCTTAGAGAGTTGATGGTCTATTGGGGAGATCATATCTCCTCACCCAAGATGATTATATTCAGAGCCAAGAGTAGATATAGTTAATTCATGTTATTAAAGCTCACAGTGGGCTGAGCGTCCAATGAGCTTGGGTGGGGGGAAACGTCATTAATGGGGGAGAAGCTGTCATGAGCTCCCCAAAGATTTTGACATTTAATGAACAAATACAGTTTAATTTAATGGACAAATTCATGCGGGGGAAGGGAACAGCTAAGTGGTCCTGTGAGGTGGCTGGGTCAGAGTTAGACCACAGGGTCGCTTTCCACTCCCTACTCCACGCTGCAACCCAGCACAGGAAGTCACACTTGAAAGCCTCCCCAGGCGGAAGTTGTGGGGGAGTTGGAGGGTGCTGGGCCACCCCCTCAACTGTCTCTCCACAGGCACCCCCAGCTTCCTGCCCTTCCCCTGCTTCAGGTGACGGCAGCAGTCTGGGTGCTCCGAGCTCACCTCCTGTTTTTGCTGTTTTTGCTGCAACATACAGCTGCAAAGGAGGTGTGCTCACCAGAGCCAACCCGTACCAACAAGTGGTGCCTACTGCTGGGAGCCGTGAGAGACCTGGGCAATATAGTGCTGGTTGTCTCGCATCCCTTCTCGTATGCTCCCTTACTCCTGGAAATGGGTCTTCAGGGCTCTGGAGTCTTTTCTGTACTGCCAGTGGGCCTGGGGGAAGGGCTGAGGAGACTCAGGACTGGCCTTATTTCCTAAGGATTGTCTGGGACTTCCAGGGAGGTCCCTAAACCCAACCCAACTGGCCAGAACCAGCCAGGCTGTGGGAATACAGTGAACCCGGGTGGGCGGAGGGCAGCCTTGGTTGGCTTCTTTCATGAATTGGGGAGTGTCAGGGGGCTGGGTGAGAAAACTGGGACCCAGTTTATCCAGAGGGGACTGGTTAAACAAGGAGGAGGAGCCAGGGTGGGGCCTAGTCTGAAGGAAGGATGCTGAGGAGCGGGGAGGAACTGACGGGCCCTCAAGGAGGGGTGGGTAGAGACTAGCTGGGAGGAAGTCAGGGGTCGAGGGAGACTTCCCTTTGGGATGGAATGGAGGAGGGAGCCATTTCCCGAAATAATGTGGGCCCAGTGGGACAAGGGTCCATTGCCTGGCTCTTTTGAGGAGGAGGGGAGGAAAGGGAGCCCTAAAGGGGGCTCTGCGTGGGGATTGGAGGGATGGACTGGCCTGTGGGAGGAAGGGATCCCAACTATTGGCTGGTCCCAGCAGTGTTTATGCTGACTCATGGCCCTTGAAGCGCTGGGGAAGCTGCGAGTTCCCTCTCGCCTCCCCCAGGTCCCCTCCCTCCCTCTGTCCTGAGTCACTGGGCGGAGCTGCTGGGAAAAGATTTCCCTTTCCCGGATCTGACTTAACCCTCAAGGTGCTGTAGAGGGAGGGGACACGTGGCCTGAGAAAGCCTCTCTCCCTCCCTCCTGGGAAGTGTGTTCCTCACAGGCCAGAGGTCCATGAAAAGCTCCCCGCTAGGCTGTTCCAGAACTGGAGCCCCCCAGTTCTTCCCGACTCTGTCTCTGCCAGTTGGCTTTGCTCCCCCCCCTCCCCGATGGAATTCCAAGTGCCCATGACCTTAGGTGCTATGAGCTCTTCTTCGGGGAAAGCTCTTCTTTTCAGGACCGGGAAGTTCTTCCCATAACAACCCCAAACTCTTCCTGTTGCCCTGGAAGCCCCAGTCCTGTTCTTTGGAGAGATGGCACAGTGCCAGAGTGGGCCAGGGAAGACTGCTGCCCTCTGAGTAGGGGGGTGCACCCCTGCGGGGATTGCTGCTGTGTTTGAGTGTGGCTTCCCCTGTTTGTGGCTGAGGCTCAGCCTTCTGGGCTGCTGTAGCATCTCCCAGCGGGTGACACAGGCTGTGACCTGCCTATCTGCCTGCTGAGATGCGGAGCCATTGAGGCTGCAAGGCTGTTGCTGAGTGACTGCAGGCTGCTAGGCCCTTCTGTCTTGGCTGGGGTTTCTGTGATCTGTTGCTCCCCAGTGTTTAGCATACTTTAATGATATCCTCTTATCTTTACATAAAGCAGCTCTTATAGCAGAGAAAAACAAGGCTGAGGGAAAGCCAGCAAAAAGCTGGTCAAAAAGCAAAGAGCAAAGTCTAGGTTGGAGCTCAGCTTTGACTCCTGCCTTTGCTGTCCAGGCACCTCAGCCAGAACTGGGCAAGTGATTCAACTGCTGTGGGCTTGGCCTGAGGCTATAAAACATGTCTTCCAGGATGCCCCAGTGTGCAAAGAGCTTCAGGACTCCTTGGCACACCCTCAGCTCCTGACTCCATGGTCACTTGAGCTAGCTCACCAGCCGCTGGCCAGCTCTAGTTGCATGTAACTTACATGCCTTTGCCCACTCTTGCCCCCATTGAAACTTTGTCACCTGCCTACCCCATCCCTGACCTCAAACTTTCCTTTTTACTCCCCTCCCCATTTGCCCTGGCCAACCTGCGGTATTTGTGTAGATTTAGTGGTGGAAAGGGATGCAGCATGGAATCTGAGGGCGGGATCCTGAGTGAGGTTTTGATACAAATTAATAAAGAAACTTTTCCTTTGGCTTATGGGCTCTCTCCAGGAACGGTGCCCACAGGAACATCACTCATCTCCACTCAAATCCGGTTTTATAAAGAACTTTTTACTGGTATAACATAATACAGGAAAGTACAGATCCCAACTTCATGAATGTTCACAAAGTGAATGCACAAGGAACGCACCACCCCAATATTTAGGGCTGCTTGTTGGCAAGGGCTAAAATTTAGGTAACCTATCAGTTCCCAATAATAGAAAAAAATAGCTTTCCTTGAACATCTGCGCCGTGTCCAACACTATTAGCTGCTATGGGGAAATAAAGATAAACTACAGCCAGACCTGGAGTCTACCAGCCTTGAGTTGGAGGGACACAGAACAATTAGCACACAAGACAAATAGAGAACAATTAAGTATAGATCGCATGGTGCCAACCGTCCAAGCTTAGATCCTCATGAGACCTCCTCTACTGATTCTTCCCCAGGTGCTCCTGGCTCTGTTGGTGGAAATATCCCCCTCCGGGGTTACTGGACTGGTCCCTCACTTCAGGAACCGGGAGAAAAGAGACAGCAAGTGTCCCCAGGGAAAATACAGCCACCCTCAAAACAATTCCATTTGCTGTACGAAGTGTCACAAAGGTAGGAGGGAGTGGTAACAGTGATCTCCTCAGTTATGGGGCCCTGCTACTTCTTTTGCTTTTTCCAAGTGTTCTAGAATGTGGGGTCCCTGTCTCCAAGTCTCCTAACTTAGCTGCTTCGCCTAGGCTGGGATTTTCTCCCTTCTTTTCTGTCGTAGAGATTTCGGAGAGGTGGCCCAGGCTGTTCTGCCTAGCATGGAGCTCCTTGCTTGAGCTCTTGGCTGCAGCCTGACCCAGACACCCCTATCACAGGGACCTACCTGTACAATGACTGTCCCGGCCCAGGGCTGGACACGGACTGCAGGAAGTGTGAAAATGGCACCTTTACTGCTGTTGAGAACTACTTCCGTCAATGCTTCAGCTGCCGGAAGTGCCGAAAAGGTGAGTCTCAGGAGAGAGCAAGGGCTTTAAATGGGAGACGTCAAGTGGGCTTCGAGATGGGTGTGCGTGTCTGGCCACCCGTGAGGGTATGCCAATCTGTGCTGTTGGGTGTGGGCAGGAAAGCATGTGCATATGTGATAGGGTGCATGGGTGTGAGCGCGTGTCACAGAGGTTCGTACTCCCATCTCTTCCCTTCACCAGAAATGGGCCAGGAGGAGCTTTCTCCTTGCACAGTGGACCAGGACACTGTGTGTGGCTGTAAGAAGAACCAGTACCAGAAACATTGGAATGGCGATCTTTTCCGGTGCCTGAACTGCAGTCTCTGCCTCAATGGCACGAGGCAAATCCCATGTGAGCATGGCTTTCCCGACCCCAGCCCCCTCCTCACTGCAGGGGCAGGCCCTGTCTCAGGATGAGGGTCTCCACCTTTCTGCACCCCTGCCCCATGAGGGAGCACTTCCTATTCTTCCTGCTGCTGCAGTCTGTGGGAGGACCTTCACTCTGGCCATCTATCCCAGCCCCTCCTGGCTCTCCTTCCTGTGCTCAGGGTGCAGGGCGGTCCTCCTTAAGTTGTGCTGCCTCTCTCCCCACAGGCAAGGAAAAACAGAACACCGTATGTGCCTGCCACAAGGGGTTCTTCCTAAGAGACAACGAATGTGTGTCCTGTGATAAGTGAGTATCTCTGTAAGCTACTGAGCACTGGGTCAGGGAGCATAGGGTGTGATGGGGTGGCTGTGGTGAGAGTCACCAACGTCGGCCGGGTGGGTCAGTTGGGTTAGAGTGCGTGCTCTGAACAACAAGGTTGACGGTTCGATTCCTGCATGGGCCAGTGAGCTGCGCCTTCTGCAACTAGATTGAAGGACAACGACTTGACTTGGAGCTGATGGGTCCTGGAAAAAACACAGTTACCATATTAAAAAATAAAAAAAAGATATTTAAAAAAAAAACAGAAGTCTGGGGATAGAGGCTTATAATCCAGGGACTTGTAGTTCTTCTAACTTAACATTTATGTTATTATTATTTTTACATTGAGATTCTTAGGTGACAAGGTCTACTATTGATTCTAGAACACACACTTTTACATCTCTGAAATCAGATTGCATCTTATAATTGATGCTGTATCATGGTTTAATCAGCAGGTGTGTGTGTGTGTGTGTGTGTGTGTGTGTGTGTGTGTGTGTGTGTGTGGTATGCAAATAATGGTGCCTCATTATTGATGGCATCTTAGGTTTGATGAAACCTAAGTCCCTTTGACCAAGCCTCCTCACTCCTGGCTCCACAGAGGCTGTTCTTGCATTCTCACTTGCAAGGAAGAAACTCTGTGGGCTCTAAAGTTGAACTGACCTGGGTTTAAAAATCTGCTTAGCCACTTACTGGCTGTGCAACTTTGGGGCAGTGACTTAATGTTTCTGAGCCTTAGTTTTCTTACCTTTAAGGATAACGACATCCACTTGGAAGTTGTAAGAATCACAAAAAATAGCTACAAAGTGTCTGACAAGAAACTACAGGTGTATTTCCTTTTTCCTACTAAGTTTTGTTTCTTCTCCTTGAAAGGGATTTTACGCTCACCCCTTTTAATTCTCATCATGAGTTTATGAGGTGGGTAAAAGTGCCTCTTCCTGCATTCAGGTTCCTGCTGATAACTCACCTTCTCAAGTTCCTCTAAGGCAGCGGTTCTCAACCTTTCACAGGGGTCACCTAAGACCATCGGAAAACACATATTTTTGATGGTCTTAGGAACCGAGACACCGCTCCTCTATCTGTCTCCAGGCCCACATGCAGATACGCCCACATACGAGTACCCGGCGACCCCTGTGAAAGGGTCGTTTGACCCCCAAAGGGGTCGCAACCCACAGGTTGAGAACCGCTGCTCTAAGGTCTCCCATGTAGTTCTCATCACTCCACACTACCCAGTGACAGCTTCCAACATGGAAAGATGTGCTGTCTGGTGTCCCCCAGCAACATGCATTTTAAAATTTTTCACATGCATGCTTGACCCCTCTCTCAAAGTCACGTATTGTCAGTAGCAGTGTCATCTTGAGAAAAAGCTTTTTAACTTCTCTTTGCCACAAGATTCTCATCAGTAGAACAATGATTAAATAGCAATTCAATGATGGCTACTATTTATCGAGCACTTAAGTGTATGTCAGGCATAATTCTCTCACTTAATCCTCAGTCCTGACAGGTGGGCAGGATCCCTGTTTTCCTGATGAAGAAACTGAGGCATACAGGTTAAATGACTTGCTTGGTGTCACACTGCTAGCGAATGACTGGGCTGGAATTTATACCCTGACCCTGACTGCTTTTAAGTCTTCCTACACAGCCTCTTCAAGATCAATTCCAGGTCTAAATTAAATGATTCTGTGATTAACTTATTTTTCATTCCTTTGCATCAATTCCCAAGATAGGTTTAATCTCCATTATATATCAAGAGATAGCTAAAATATTTGTAAAGCAAAGAATTTCCAACGATGTGGTGGGGTTTTTTTCACCCTTTTTTTGAACCTGTATTCCTCCTATGAGAGGGTCCCTATTCACTGGTGCTATCTCTCCTTTTAGCTGTAAGCCAAACACGGAGTGCGTGAAGTTTTGCCAAACCCCATCTGAAATCTGGAGCCCTGATAAGGACTCTCAGGACACAGGTGAGGAGAAATTACCCAGTGCCCTTGCTCACCTGCCCTCTCCTGTATTTTACTGATTCTTCCCCAGGTGCTCCTGGCTCTGTTGGTGGAAATATCCCCCTCCGGGGTTACTGGACTGGTCCCTCACTTCAGGAACCGGGAGAAAAGAGACAGCAAGTGTCCCCAGGGAAAATACAGCCACCCTCAAAACAATTCCATTTGCTGTACGAAGTGTCACAAAGGTAGGAGGGAGTGGTAACAGTGATCTCCTCAGTTATGGGGCCCTGCTACTTCTTTTGCTTTTTCCAAGTGTTCTAGAATCTGGGGTCCCTGTCTCCAAGTCTCCTAACTTAGCTGCTTCGCCTAGGCTGGGATTTTCTCCCTTCTTTTCTGTCGTAGAGATTTCGGAGAGGTGGCCCAGGCTGTTCTGCCTAGCATGGAGCTCCTTGCTTGAGCTCTTGGCTGCAGCCTGACCCAGACACCCCTATCACAGGGACCTACCTGTACAATGACTGTCCCGGCCCAGGGCTGGACACGGACTGCAGGAAGTGTGAAAATGGCACCTTTACTGCTGTTGAGAACTACTTCCGTCAATGCTTCAGCTGCCGGAAGTGCCGAAAAGGTGAGTCTCAGGAGAGAGCAAGGGCTTTAAATGGGAGACGTCAAGTGGGCTTCGAGATGGGTGTGTGTGTCTGGCCACCCGTGAGGGTATGCCAATCTGTGCTGTTGGGTGTGGGCAGGAAAGCATGTGCATATGTGATAGGGTGCATGGGTGTGAGCGCGTGTCACAGAGGTTCGTACTCCCATCTCTTCCCTTCACCAGAAATGGGCCAGGAGGAGCTTTCTCCTTGCACAGTGGACCAGGACACTGTGTGTGGCTGTAAGAAGAACCAGTACCAGAAACATTGGAATGGCGATCTTTTCCGGTGCCTGAACTGCAGTCTCTGCCTCAATGGCACGAGGCAAATCCCATGTGAGCATGGCTTTCCCGACCCCAGCCCCCTCCTCACTGCAGGGGCAGGCCCTGTCTCAGGATGAGGGTCTCCACCTTTCTGCACCCCTGCCCCATGAGGCAGCACTTCCTATTCTTCCTGCTGCTGCAGTCTGTGGGAGGACCTTCACTCTGGCCATCTATCCCAGCCCCTCCTGGCTCTCCTTCCTGTGCTCAGGGTGCAGGGCGGTCCTCCTTAAGTTGTGCTGCCTCTCTCCCCACAGGCAAGGAAAAACAGAACACCGTATGTGCCTGCCACAAGGGGTTCTTCCTAAGAGACAACGAATGTGTGTCCTGTGATAAGTGAGTATCTCTGTAAGCTACTGAGCACTGGGTCAGGGAGCATAGGGTGTGATGGGGTGGCTGTGGTGAGAGTCACCAACGTCGGCCGGGTGGGTCAGTTGGGTTAGAGTGCGTGCTCTGAACAACAAGGTTGACGGTTCGATTCCTGCATGGGCCAGTGAGCTGCGCCTTCTGCAACTAGATTGAAGGACAACGACTTGACTTGGAGCTGATGGGTCCTGGAAAAAACACAGTTACCATATTAAAAAATAAAAAAAAGATATTAAAAAAAAAAACAGAAGTCTGGGGATAGAGGCTTATAATCCAGGGACTTGTAGTTCTTCTAACTTAACATTTATGTTATTATTATTTTTACATTGAGATTCTTAGGTGACAAGGTCTACTATTGATTCTAGAACACACACTTTTACATCTCTGAAATCAGATTGCATCTTATAATTGATGCTGTATCATGGTTTAATCAGCAGGTGTGTGTGTGTGTG